TTCACACTTCGTCGGCTTCCTCTGATAGATATCGAAAAGAAATTCCTTAAAATGCACGCTTTAAAGGTGATGACACCGTCTCGAGCTGTCGCTGTGCAACAGCTATAACAAATGATCGTTGAATCGGTGCACGTGGAACGAATCAATTAGTCGATTGGGTTGATTGTCGTTCTTGAAAATTTTCAAAATACGCGCAACACAGTTCCACGTGGAAACGTCAGTGGGATTTTTTATGAAGTTGCCAAGTTACGCGTGTAGGGTTTGTTTAATTTCGTTAAGATCAGCGCGATCGATCGAATTAAGGTGCAGTGATTAATTTATTTGACTATTTGATTATTTAATTATATTTTCCTTTTGAACGGTTGTTCGAAATGTTCTGATCGAATTAATTGTATCATTTTTACGCTCATTTGATTTCAATAACCGGGTTTCAAAACACGGCGCTTCTCTCGAACGGGAGTAACCCTCGCGTTACCTTATTGGAAGCTTTCCAATGACCCCTTGCACGCTCAAGGGGAAGCAACTCGTAGGGGATGAGGCCCTCATTGTTCGCGTTCTCGATTTCCTTCGAATTTCGAGGACGATAAAATCGCGGGTGTATCATTTTTTTTTCTTTCTCTAGCTAGTTTCTCTCTCTCTCTCTCTCCTCCTTGCGTTACGTCATGATAAAATTGATCAAAACGTGTCGTCGCTAATTTACACGTCAAATGATAAAAATAAAAACGAAAATACTTGTATGTTGTTACTTTGTTTCATTAGCACTGTAACACATGAGACATATCATTATTATAGCGATAAAAAGTTTCAAACCAATTTGAAAATTTATATAAAAATTATGTACATGACTGTTGTAAGTATTTAATTCATTATGCAATTAGTATACATAATTATTTTATGTTATATTATATTATACTATATTATTATACTATATTATATTGTATTATATTATATTATATATATTATATTGTATTGTATTGTATTGTATTGTATTATATTATATTATATTGTATTATATTGTATTATATTATATTATACATATAATATGTAACTTAAATATAGAATTAGTATTAATAATAATTACCTTCGCCACAAATATAACGAACCATCGAAATAATTGCTCAACCTCCGTGAAACGCATGTTTCGCAACAATTTTACAAATGTATACATTTCTGTATCATTTCATCTTTGAAATTTATTTTTTTCAAATCAGTATAATTGTGTCTCGTCACAGTGCTAAGGAAATTTTCGAGATGTTTTACAAAACACGTGTAATACGTCCAAAGAAAAAAAGCAACTTTCTTTTCTCTCTCCATCGAGGATTGCTCGAAGTCGAGAGATTTGAATTCAAACGACTTGACGAATTTTTCACGAGGCTGCACCCGAAACCGAAAGAAGGAAATTACGTGATTGTTGATCTTCCATCCGAGTCAGAATTGAAATTGCTCGATATCGATGTCATTTCTCGGACGTATCACGTAATACGCAGTTCTCAAACGATTTCAGGCGACTAGATCGTTTCCAGGATGCGAGCTATTATCGCGGTTTCGCACTGTAATTAACGAAACCCGTGTCAATAAAGAAAAAAGAAAAAAGAAAAACAGATGAAAAATAATTCATGCAAATATTCCATTATGGAAATGGGCAACGTCATTAACATTTTCAACGATCTGTCTTTTTAAATCCAAGTAATTCTCACGTTGCCAAATAACTTGCCAACAGAGAGGTTGGTAAAAAAAATAAAGATAACTTCCGCTACCTCTGAATTGAAGCTTTTTGTTCAGACACAAGTGGTCAAAATTTTTCAATTTATTTCCCCACGTATTTTATCCATTTTTATATTTTTCTAATACTTTCGAATACAATGGATGATCAGTTAACGAACCATTAATCCAGTTCTAAGACTGTATCCGTATTGTTCGTTAAACGATCACCCATTGTATGTGTCATTATTTTAAATATTAGAAAATTAGAATGGATTCATATCTTTTGTGTGTAATTTTCAAATATTATATAATATTATAATAATGTAATGTATAATAATAATATTATTATAATAATGTAATGTATAATAATAATATTATTATAATAATTTGTAATATTATAATAATATTGCTTGTATAATATTATTATAATAATATTATAATATTATAATAATACTGCTAATACAATATTATTATAATAATTTGTAATATTATAATAATACAGACGTTTAATGACATAAGAAGAACAAAAGAATTTTAGAAGAAGAAATTTCTACTAAATGACGCTCAATTGACACTCAATAATTCACATAAACAAAAAGAAAAGACAGAATAGTTATGACAAGGCTTAGAACAGGACACTGCAAACTTACACATGAGTACCTATTAAAAAAAAAAATGAACCCCCAATGTGCAACCAATGCAATCGAATAATATCAACCCATCATCTGTTATTTGAATGCAGCGAGTACCACGCTCAAAGGCAAAAATACAAAATAACATCACCAGCAGCCCTGACGTCGCAGAAACACATAAGAAAATGTCCTGAACTGTCTAAAAGAAACTAACATCTACCATAAGATATAATCGTCTAGAAAAGAAGATCGTAAATTCGACGTTAACCATAAATTAAAAAAAAAAAAAAGAAATTCACATAAACTAGACTTCTTATTGCTTCTTGCGAAAGTTTAGAAAACGATGGAGGATACTATTTTTCCAGAAATTGAAACTATCATTAACTCTTGTATAGTATACTTGTTCTAGCAAACCTACACGTTGACGATTGCTTTAACCTCTTGCGCTTGAATGACATGCCACGCACGCCGAGAACTTTTTGCCCTAAAATTGCAATATTTCCTCAGTCTCAAATACATTTAAGTACAACCTAGGCAAAACAAGTAATAAATTTATTACTTCTCAATAATTTCTATCCAGTGATATCATACCGACATGTACAGAAAGAAAAGAAAGCAATTATTGTATACGATTCGGTCACTCGCTATGGTCCGCAATCAGCCAACACAAGTGGTGAACCTCTTCCACGCACGTCGAGAATTTTTTGTTCCCAAAATTGCAATATTTTCTCAGTTTCAAATATATTTAAGTATAATCCAAGCAAAATAAATAATAAATTTATTACTTTTCAATAATAACTTTTATCCAGTAATATCATACCGACGAGTTCAGAAGAAAAAGAAAGCGACGAATTATTGTATACAGTTTGAGTCTCTCGTTATGGTCCGCAACTGGTTAACCTCTTGCGCTGGAATGACGTGCCACGCACGTCGAGAATTTTTTGTTCCCAAAATTGCAATATTTTCTCAGTTTTAAGTATACTTAAGTATAACCCAGGCAAAACAAGTAATAAATTTATTACTTCTCAATAATTTCTATCCAGTGATGTCATACCGACGTGTTCAGAAGGAGAAGAAAGCGACGAATTATTGTATACGGTTCGGTCACTCGTTATGGTCCGCAATCAGTTGCCAGCGCAAGTGGTTAACCTCTTCCACGCACGTCGAGAATTTTTTGTCCCCAAAATTGCAATATTTTCTCAGTCTCAAATACATTTAAGTATAACCCAGGCAAAACAAGTAATAAATTTATTACTTCTCAATAATTTCTATCCAGTGATGTCATACCGACGTGTTCAGAAGGAGAAGAAAGCGACGAATTATTGTATACGGTTCGGTCACTCGTTATGGTCCGCAATCAGTTGCCAGCGCAAGTGGTTAACCTCTTCCACGCACGTCGAGAATTTTTTGTCCCCAAAATTGCAATATTTTCTCAGTCTCAAATACATTTAAGTATAACCCAGGCAAAACAAGTAATAAATTTATTACTTCTCAATAATTTCTATCCAGTGATGTCATACCGACGTGTTCAGAAGGAGAAGAAAGCGACGAATTATTGTATACGGTTCGGTCACTCGTTATGGTCCGCAGTCAGCTGCCAGCGGAAGTTGGAATTTCACACGTTGGAAAGATATAATAAACAAAATATACCATTCGAACGATTAGTTCCATCGCTGTGTCGTTTCACTCGAAGTGACGACGCTTCGTAAATAAATTGCTAAATTTATGATACGAAGAAAGAGGTTTGTCTCGAGGGTAAAGGGTTAAAGGAAGAAAGGCGAAGTTCGAAATGAATTTTCGAGCGATTCCGACGCGAGTAGGTCCGAGGAGGTCGCGCGAGAATCTTATTGGTTTCCTGTTGAACCTTCCCGAGGGATTAGACCTGCGTAGGATGGTCGCGGTGCCATCCGCGCTGTATAAGCGCCGAGGTGTAGGGCGGTTTAGTCACTCCCACTTACGCCGGTGACACGCGACCGCGTGGTCTGTTCCCTCGTGTTCTCCATCTGCCGCGAATTTTCAAAGTGCACGACAGAGAAAACGAAATCTCGAGCGTCAGATTAACAAAATCAAGTTTTCTGCGAATTTTCTACGAAGTTTCTACGAATGACTGGACTGTCAAGTTCAGAATCGAAGATACGCGAACGTGAAGACAGAAGGAAAGATCAAAGAGGTTCTTTTGCTGTCGTCGCTGCAAATAATTAGCACGGTGATAAAGTGTATTCACAGCAGAAAAAAAGTGCTATCTTCAAGCGATATTGACACAAATCAGCGGTCGTAGAAACCAAAAAAAAAAAAAAAAAAAGAGAAATCTCTTCGATGCGAAGACTTGGGAAGAAAATTCTTTCACTCGAGGAGTGAGTCGATCAAAGAGTAACAGACGCGACTGAACAGTCAATCGAACCATCGATCGTCGAAAGGAAGGAAGTTCAGTTTTCAAAACCATAACAGAGCAGAAGCGTGGAGCAAGGTTGACACGTCAGAGGTGTCATTTTCCACTGATTCTTAAGATATCGACGATAGTCAGCGATCGTACAAGTCGTAAAGATCTTCATCGGGCGCGAAGAAAATCTTCTTGAGAGGAACTCGAGAAGACTTTGGTTGTCAACCAAAGAGACGACTGAACCACATCGGTCGTCGAAAGGCCGGAAGTTGGAATTTTGACAAACGAGCGGGAAGCAACGTTGACAGAAGCGCAAAGTAACAGTTTTAGTCGCCTCCCACTTGCGGTGGCGAGGTGGAAAAGCACGTGGTCCAGAGAGAGCAGCGGTAATCGGTGCCACCGGCCAGGATCTACCGGCGGTGTGTTTCGTTCCACTTCCACCTCTAGCTTGGTCCACCACCACTAACACCGCCACCACCCGCGCTCAGTGTTCGTTGGCCGTCTCCAGGCGAAGAGTGCGCGCGAGTTGGCAAAGCCGCTGGCTTGTTGTGTGCCACCACTACAACCCACCACCACACAACCAACCAACTCTAATGGTACAGTAGCGGCACGGCAAACGATCGCGAAGGTTGCCACACGTGTGTGTCGTCGTCGCGGTCTTCCTCTCCACGACGTGTGCGTCGTCGTTGTCGTCGTCGTCGTCGTCGTCCCAAAGAGGTGGCCGCCTCTTCTTTCGGCCAGGTGACTAGCACGTGACCTTCGCCGTCGTCGAGGAAGAGAATACTCGTGGCTCGCGATACTCGGGCTCCGGTGATCCGCGAGCGGCACGACCTCGTCGTCGTCGAAGAGGCACCCTCGAAGCACGAGGGCATCGGCCGAGAGGAGGGAAGGCGCCAGGCCTTCTGCGCTCCTCGAGGATGCCGCCGCTTCCTCGTCGTCGGCGACGACGTGGATGTACGCGCTACTCGGTAAGCCTCCACCACCGCCAGAGGAGTAAATTCCGAACGTGGTTGCAACCTGTGAACGTGCGTGTGTGAATTCTTCTTCTTCTTCTTTTTTTTTTTTTTTCTTCTTTTTTTAACTCGGAAGCAACAGGAAGGATTTCTTTCAAGACGGAGGATGTTTTTCAATTTATCGAGCTCGTCCGTGGTCGATCGATTAGGAGCAACGATTCCAGTGATTTCGAGATGCATTCTTGCTACGAGATGGTTGCCCCTCTCGGTCTCAGATTCTTCAGGCCCGTGCGTTATCGAGTGCAACAGTGGTGAAGAACGTTGCGAGTAAGTCGCGGTGAAATTACATATGGTTTGGTGGAACGACACGTGCCAGTGAACATGTGCGTGGTTCTTCCTCTCGGATCTAGTAGTAGACTACGTAGAAAATCGACGCGTGTCGGCGAACTGCGTGCCACTGGAATCCCACGTCCAAGGTATCTCCCTACTTTCTCCATTTAACATCGCGTACAACTAGTCCTTTTGCAACTGCCCGATCCTATCGCGAGCCTAATTTACGTACATATATCTAATTTGCTCGAACGTTCGTAGATATCTTCGAGAATTCTCCTTTTCAAGAAGGGGAGCGATGCACGCTTTTTAACGTCTGCGTCGAACATCTTTGTACGTAAAAAAAAAAAAAAGGTTTATTTCGAAATTTTCGTTTCCTTCGTCTTCGTGGAAAGTAGAAGCGGTAGGAAAATTTCTTTCTTCTGGTGCAAAACGCTCTGTTCCCCCTGTCGAGCAGCGTTTGATCATTCCCCCTCGCGGTGTAGTCGTAATAATTTTCTTCGAGATTGCTCTCTTCTGATTTGATACGAACCATTATCTTCTTATCTACCTATTACACTCTATCTCGAGCGAGCAGCACCCTTTTTCTGGAGTTTCCAAGGTGAATTCAATGCGATTCTCGTGTCGCTGGAAAACGAGATTTCGCACGCGAGTTTTTCAGTACTTCGAAAATCACTGTTACTAATGTCCGAATTATCAGTCGTTGAATTATCTCTACACTACCTATCTTATATCTTCGTTTACTGCTTTCTTTTTCGAACGTTTTGTGGTATTTGTATTTACTTCATTCTTCATTCGAACTAATATTATGTTTTTTTTCACGTCGTAAACTCGCGCTTTGAAGTTCTCTCCTTCAGCGACTTTCACTACGATCGATTAAAAAAACGTAATTGGGATCATCCGTTATCATTCGCTTGTCATTAGCTTCTATTCTAACTTTCTTCATTTCCTTCGATTCCCTGAAATTGCAAAGCTGCCGTTTCATCTTTGATTTGCGACAGACAGCGTGACTGAAATCACACGACGGACGGAAAGTGTGTTTGCTCGTTCATTAGTTTGTTTAATTTCACGCATACGACGAGTCGATTCTATGTTGATTCGATTCTAGATAAGAATTTAGTTTGAGAAACGCGCGAGAATTGGAGATGTTCTGCGTTTCACGCGGTTCTCTTGCACTGCGTCTGGATTTGTGAGGATCGCTTTCTCGATGATGTAACGTGTGTATAACGATATAACTTAGACGCTTTTTGACTTGATAAAAAAATTTTCACCGACGCGCAGTTCTTCTCAAGGTCGAGCGAGAATCAACGTCACTTTTCGATGTTATCTTCGTCAGACGTAAGCAGAACCTCCTTTTTCATTTAGCTTTCGTTGTCTAGAGAAACATTTATCGAGACGTTTCACTAATTGCCCTCGGTACGCAATATACTGCCGATAAAGTTGCTGATTATAATTACTAATTTCTTTCTGGCTTTCTAGTACTAGACAGCGAGCAGAATAATTTTCAATCATCCGAAACGAATGAAAGGAAATTTTTGAAAAATAATTAAAAACAACAAGAATCTGTTAAGAAATAGTCTTACTATGTGACTATGAAAACTTATAATTGTGTATTGATCGTTCATTCGCGACAATTAAAATATTTCACAGGGTAACAAATGAGACCTTATTTCAATTAAATAAATTATATACTATTGTTAATTATACCTGACGTGCACACGTCTACGTCCTGTTTTTGCATTATCGAAATTACAAATTTCATTCAAACGAACGACGTTTCGTCAGCACAGCGATCGTTATCGATTTTGTTCGTAATTACGTAAATAATCCTCGTGTCGCATAACCGAATGAAAAAGTCATCGGTTCCCAATGTCTTTTACATAAGAGAAAAGTTTCAGTGATATGTTTCCAAGTGGCTCGACTGGTTGTTACAAAATTACAATCAACGTCATTGCACCATTGCACGGTATGATGATCGTTAGCCTTCGAATCGCTGAATGAATTTTACGCGAGACGCGTTGTTGTGCAAACTGTACCTGACGATCGTGCACTTGTGTTTTACATTTACGAACTAGTAAAAGATATTCCGCTTAATAGTAACAATTTCTAATAAGATCGATCTTTTGATAATAATTTTATAACAAATTTGATATAGAATAATATAATAATATTTTATTAATTTTATAATAATTTTGATAGTAAATTTGACATAGCATAGCAATAGCATAATATGATTTATGATAACTATAGTTTATAATAAATTTGATAATAAATTTAATATAGAATAATATAATAATAATTTTTTAATAATTTTGATAATAAATTAGGTGATATAGACTAATATAATTTATGATAACTATAGTTTAAATATAGTTTAGAACTATAATTTATAATAACTTTGATAATAAATTTAATATAGAATAATATAATAATAATTTTATAATAATTTTGATATAAAATATAATAAATTTAATATATAATAATATAATAATAATTTTATAATAATTTTGATATAAAATATAATAAATTTAATATAGAATAATATAATAATAATTTTATAATAATTTTGATATAAAATATAATAAATTTAATATAGAATAATATGATTTATGATAATTATAGTTCAACTATAGTTTAGAACTATACTTTATAATGACTTTGATAATAAATTTAATATAGAATAATATAATAATAATTTTATAATAATTTTGATAGTAAATTAGGTGATATAGAATAATATAATTTATGATAATACTATAATACTATAGTACTATACTATACAATACTATAGTTTAACTATAGTTTAGAACTATAATTTATAATAACTTTGATAAGAAATTTAATATAGAATAATATAATAATAATTTTGATAATAAATTTGACATAGAATTATGTAACAATAATTTATAATAAATTTAATATAGAATAATACAAAGTATAGTAATACAGGTATAGAATGATACAAAGTGAACAGATTTTTCCTTAGAATTTCAAATAGAAACAATTGAGAGTATTCTGCAGGTTACGATAAAAATTAATTATTTATTAACTTTAGAAATAATAACAATTTGCCTTCACCTCTCATTTGTGAAAATTAGAATCTTCTCATCGAAGTAACTGGAAATTATTGAATTTTAGGAAAGAGAAAATTCTCTTCCGTTCCTTCGGAAGTTGCCAAAGTCGAAGACTTTGAAGTTTGAAATTTATTTTGGAGTTAACGATGGTGACCGATCTTGATTCCTCTAACGCGATCGACTTTCTTAATCGTTTTATTGTCTCTAAATGACACTCGCGCTGTGTTATTCCCTATTACGTAATTGAAGTCTCGCTTTCCTCGCGTGGAAAATTTCAGAGCGTCATTTTCTTAACGTATTTCCATTTACGTAATAATCATTCACGCTTCGTGCAATATTCATTTACATGTCTGCTCGTGTATCCGTCTGCAAAATTCATCTAGACAAAAAGTTCTCATTGTGTTGACAAATGAATAATTAGGCATTAATATTATTCTCCTAAACCTGCATCCTTCAAGAAATTCTTTTCTTTCTCGTATGGGAAAACAGGCAATAAAAGTGATAATACTATTTCGAGACTAAGAATTCTAGTTCGTATTAGTAATAAATAATAAATAGTTGTTAAACATATAGTAAATAGTTGTTAGTTTCTAATGAATAATAATAAATTGTATTTATAAATTCTCTCTGTAATTTAAAAATTACACTACTCTAAAATCAAAAATTTTATCTAAATATCTTCACATGTGGTTATTAAACACAACAATTGTCCATCTCTGAAATTCAAAAATTACACTACTCTAAAATCAGAAATTTAAATGTCTTCACCTTTAAAT